CTCCACTCGCCGTCCTCCCCCCTCCACTCGCCGTCCTCCCTTTCTCTCTCTCTGTCTGTCTCTCTCCCCATTTCCCCTATCACCCCTCTGTCTCTCTCTCTCTCCCTGTTTCCCCCCACTCCTGTCTCTCTCTCTCTCTTTGTCTCTCTCTCCCTCCCTGTTTGCCCCCCAACCCCTCTCTCTATCTCTCGCCGTTTTCCCCCCACACTCTCGCTGTCTCTTCCTGCTCCCCCTCCACATTCCCCCCTCACTCGTTCACCTACCCCTGCCCCAAATGTAGTGTCACTCTGGATGTAAAAACACTTTCTTGAAGGCAGAGCAGTGTGTTGTGGGCAATGGTTGGGAATTTCAGAGATGGGGCTGTTCTCGCAGGATGCGTGAGATAACCACAGTTTCTTTCATTGTGTATAAATAACTTGGATGTTTAATGAGTAAAATTCCCACGTGTCAATGACGCAAAAATCTGAGTTATTGCAAACAGTCAGGATATTACGACTTTATTGTAACGGAAACTGGATAGCCGGCAGAATAGGCAGCAAAGTAGCAGGTGGAACTTAATGCAGAGAATTCTTTTCTTAATTAGGGACATGGGCATCCCCAGCTGAACTATTTATTGCCCATCCCTAGTTGGCCCTTGAGAAGGTGGTTAGCTGCTCTTTTGAACCACTCAATCCATGTGCTGTAGGTTGGCCCACAATGCTATTAGGGAGGGAATTCCAGGATTCTGACCCAGCGACAGCGAAGGAACAGCGATATATTTCCGCATCAAGATGGTGAGTAGTTTGGAGGGGAACTTAGAGGGAGTGGTGGTCCTATGTGTCTGATGGCCTTGTCCTTCTAGATAGAAGTGGTCATGGGTTTGGAAGGTGTTGTCTAAGGATCTTTGAACTTCTGCAATGCATTTTGTAGAAAGTACACACTGCTGCTACTGAGCGTCAGTGGTGGAGGGAGTGCATGCTTGTGGATGTGGTGCCAGTCAAGCGGGCTGCTTTGTCCTGGATGGTGTTGACCTCCTTGAGCGTTGTTGGAGCTACACCCATCCAGGCAAGTGGGGAGTATTCCATCACACTCCTGACTTGTGTGTTGTAGATGGTACACAGGGTGTGGGGAGTCAGGGGGTGAGTTACTCACTACAGGATTCCTAACCTCTGAGCTGTTCTTGTAGCCGCTGTCTGTATATAGCTGGTCCTGTTCAGTTTCTGGTCAGCGGTAACTGCCAAGATGTTGATTTGTATTTTGACAGGAGGAATAGGGATGAGTAATAAAGCCTTAATGACACACTTCGGAAGTATGTGAGGGATAAATCTTTGAAGGTGACAGGACATACTGAAAGAATGTTTAGGAAAGCTTCAGGGATCTAAAGAGGTTATACTGAACGTTTCTATAAAGCTCTCGATGAGCTCCAGCTACAATATTATGTTCTGCTGCAGTGACCACACAAACAGGAAGGATGTGAGGCTCCTTGAGAGAGTGCAGCTGAGAATAACTGAAATAGTCACACGGCTGAGTGTGTTTAGCTCCAGGATTACGTTCTCCTCCGGGCACAGGAGATTGAGAGGATTCGGTCCAGTGGACATAGAGAGGCTGCTCCCATAAGCTGACGTTTACAAGGATGAGGGGAGGGTCACAGCTTTAAAGATTTTGGCCAAGAGGAGACCAGTGGTAGAATGCAAAGAGAAACATCTTTGTACTCAGTGAGTGATAATGACATGGAACACACTGCCTGAGGGTGGTGAAAATGGAGACCATTCAGGATTTCAAAGGGAACTTGAGGAATGGCATTAAGCACTGACTGGATTTCTCTGAGTTTGTGGGCATGGTTGTGATGGGCTGAACAGCCTCCTACATTGCAATGACTTTACTCCAAAGACAAACACATTCCCCAATTCTCTTTCATTTTCTCTCTCCATTCTCCTATCTCTCTCTTCTCTCTCTTTCTCTCTGTCTCTCTCTCTGTCTTTTTACCCTGTTCCCCATTCTTTCTCTGTCTCTGGCCATTTGTATATTTTTCACCCAGCACCGTTCTCCATTCCCTGATATCGAATGACCAGCACAGCACCAAATCACTACTTGCAAACTCTGAAAGATTTGGCAAAGGCAAGTTCATAAAAATCTTCCCATTGTCCTGGTGACCATCTTTCGTAGACGTGGCAGGGTTAGTCCTGCAGGTGATTGAGAACATCGTGGCTCAGTGGTTAGCACTGCTGCCTCACAGCGCCAGGGACCCAGGTTCGATTCCACCTTTGGGTTACTGTCTGGGTGGAGTTTGCACATTCTCCCAATGTCTGCGTGGGTTTCCTCCGGGTGCTCCGGTTTCCTCCCACAGTCCGAAGATGTGCAGGTTAGGTTGGATTGGCCGTGCTAAATTGCCTGTAGTGTTCAGCGATGTGGAGATTAGGTGGGTTATGAGGGGATGGGTCGAAGGGCCTGTGTCCACACTGTAGGGATTCTATGAAATTTCTATGATTCCAGCAGCTGGGGTTATGGTGGCTTATGAAGAGAGATTGAGTAGACTGGGACTGTACTGATTGGACTTTAGAAGAATGAGGGGGAATGTTATCGAAACATATAAGATTACGAAGGGAATAGATAAGATAGAAGCAGGGACGATGTTTCCACTGGTGGGTGAAACCAGAACTAGGGGAGACATAGCCTCAAAATAAGTGGGGAGCAGATTGAGGACTGAGTTGAGGAGGAACTTCTTCACCCAAAGGGTTGTGCATCGGTGGAATTCCCTGCCCAGTGAAGCAATTGAGGCTACACGTTGAATGTTTTTAAGACAAAGATAGATTTTTGATCAGTAAAGTAATTAAAGGCTATGGTGAGCGGGCAGGTAATTGGAGCTGAGTCCATGAAAAGATTAGCCATGATCTAATTGAATGGTGGAGCAGGCTCAAGAGGCCAGATGGCCCATTCCTGCTCCTATTTCTTATGTTCTTATGTTATAACACTAGCCTATCTCCCTTTGCATTGCAGCATTGAAAGCTTACAATGAAGTAAAATGCCGCAAATACACCGTTATTTCTGGTGTGGCTGTTGATTTATTTTATTTGTCCTTTTGCTGGGATATGTGTGTCGCAGGCAGAACCAGTAATTGTTGCCCATCATGAATTGTTCTTGAACTGAGTGGTTTGCTCAGGCCGTTTTGAAGGGTAGTTGAGAATAAGCCATGTTGCTGTGGGTCTGGAGTCACACGTAGGCCAGACCGGATGAGGACAGCAGATTTCTGCCAGGCATTAATGAACCAGTGATAATTACAGTGAGCAAAAACAGAAATTGCTAGAAAATCTCAGCAAGTCTGGCAGCATCAGTGGAGAGAAATCAGAGTTAATGTTTCTGGACCTGAAACGTTAACTCTGATTTCTCTCCACAGATGCTGCCGGACCCACTGAGCTTTTCCAGCATTTTCTGTTTTTGTTTCTGATTTCCAACATCCACAGTTCTTTTGGGTTTTTGTCATTTTCATGGACACCATTACTGAGACTAATTTCATATCCCAGATTTGTCATAGAATCATAGTCATACAGCAGAAGAACAGACACTGGTCCAACGAGTCCATGCCAACCATAATCCCAACTAAAGTTAGTGCCACTTGCCTACACTTGGATATAAATCTAAACGTTTCTTATTCATGTACTTATCTAAATATCTTTTAAACATTGAAACTGTACCCACATCCACCACTTCCTCTGGAAGTTCATTGCATTCATGAATCACTCTGTGAAAGAAAAAGAATTGCCCTTTGTGTCTTTTTTAAACCTTTCTTCTCTCACTTTAAAAATACGCTCCCCGAGTCTTGAAATCCCTCACCCTAGGGAAAAGACACCTGCCATTCACCTTATCTATGCCCCTCATGATTTTATAAACATCTTTAAGGTCACCCCCTTAACACTCCTAAGCTCCAGAGAGAAAAAGTCCCAGCCTGTCGAGCCTCTGCTTATAACTCAAACCCTCCATCCCCTGCAACATCGTGGTAAATCTCTTCTGAACCCTCTCCGGATTAATAATATCCTTCCCATATCAGGGAGACCAGAACTGAACACAGTATGCCAGAAGAAGCCTCACCAATGTCCTGTACAACCTCAAGACGACGCTTATAAAATCTCAACAAATGGTATGGTGGGATTTGAACCCACAGAGCATTAACCTGGGGCTTTGAATTATTAATTCAGTGACAATGATAGGGGAGGCAGTGACCTAGTGGTATTATCGCTGGACTATTAATCCAGAGACCCAGATAATGTTCTGGGGATCTGGGTTCAAATTCTGCCACGGCAGATGGTAGAATTTGAAAACAATAAATATCTGGAATTAAAGTCTAATAAAGAGTCTGTGAACCCATTGTTAATCGTTGGAAAAACCCATCTGGTTCACTGATGTCCTTTAGGGAAGGAAACTGCCATCCTTACCTGCTCTGCCCTACACGTGACTCCAGACCCACAGCAATGTGGTTGTCGCTTAACTGCCCTCTGGGCAATTAGGGATGGGCAATAAATACTGCCTAGCCTGCGACGCCCTCATCCCGTGAATGAATAAAGAAAAAAAAATTATTGTAACATCATCATCTCCCACCTAAATAGTGACTTCAATTTGCCTCCACATAGCATACTGCGAACTGCCAGTGATCAAGGGGCCTCACTTACACTGAAACAAGAACCAGAAAATGTATAAAGATTCTTGTTTAAAATGGCATATCCTCCCCTGTACTGTCAGGACAGCTGAGGATTTAATTGCTTAGACTTGTTGGGTTGCGTGTCATTTATCAGACAAATTGCGCAAATGTCCCGCATTTAGATAAGCAAATCATTTTGGGTCAACCTAATTGCTCAATTGGTGACTTAAAGCAGGGAATTCAGAAGGAAAATACTGGAACTCTGTATCACAAAGGACAGATTTTCAGGTGTACTTCCTGCTTAGAACTCTGAAGTGTTGAAGCTTGTGTTTCTCTAGTTTCTTTACTTGAGCCACTAATTTGAGCTTTTTGGCCTCGACCTGTCATCCCTTTATAGCCATTTAACCAATCCTGCCTTCCACCTTATCACAGTCCTTCCCCTCCCTTCATATCTGGCCCAAAGCTGTTGTGTTGCGAACTTTTACTACACCTGATGGAAGGTCATTAACCTGCGAAGTTCAAACAGTACATAAGAGGAAAAGGCCCTTCAGCCCAACAGGTTATCTCCTGTGTCTGTCTGTCTGTCTGTCTCTCTCTGTCTCTCTCTCTCACGCACACATACTTTGTGGCCTATCACATACTTGGGATGTTCTAAAGTTGTGAAAGATTGTAAGAAACAGGGAGCTGGATTAGACTGTTTGGCCTTTCAAGCCTGCTCTATCGCTCAATGAGACCATGTCTAATCTTCTATTTCCACATGCTATCCTCCTATCCCTGATGCTATTCATATGTGGAAACCCATTGATCTCAGTCTTGAACACTCTCAGCTACTGAATGTCCACAGCCATCTCTGGGAATTCCAAATTTTCACCGTGGTGGGATTCAAACCCATTGTCCCCAGGACATGCAGCCAGAGGCTCTGGATTGCTGGTCTAAGTGACATTACTGCATCTCCTTTTAAGATCCGCTACCTTCTGAAGGAGGACACTCTTCCTTATCTCAGTCCAAATTGACCTGACCCTGATTCCAAGACTGTGTCGCCCCTCTCCTGGTTCTGGACCTTCCCTGCAAACCCGGGATGGGGTGTAGAAACCTTCTTCCCACATCTTCCCTGTCATGCCCTGTAAGAATTTTGTAGTTTTGAAGGAAATCATCTCGGTC